CTTAATGTTCAGTGAAGCCGGGTCTTAACTAAGTAGATATAGTTTTGCAAGCTGCCTTTGAGTCTCGCTGCTCAGCCCCATCAGGAAAATGAAGCAGTTGGCCTCCCAGCTGAATTCCATTCAGTTCTGCTTCCGGATGGGTGGAAAGGAAGATCTGGCTGCTCCGTGCAACTGAGCGCCTGGGAAAGAAAGGGTTGGATGGGTTAGCAGACCCACAAAAACCCATGAACCAGGTTGGGTCTGGCAATTCCGCTTAAGATCCGCTGAATCAGAGCCTCGGTGGAATGGCTTTCTGTATCTTTAGGTTAAGCAATCTATTGCTCAAGGCAGGTGGGTGGATTAAACGTTTCCTGAGCCCTGCAATGGCTGTTATAACAACTATTAAATGATTTTCACCGAGGACCCATAAGCACATTTCCCACAAGAACTCTGGGGCTTTTATTTAGGAAAAAAATGTTATGAGGAAGGCCAAGAGTGACATTCTGTCAGTGTCAGTATAAACAGTCTTCCACTTGGAAAGAATGAATTAAACTCTGTAAAGTATTTTCTCTCTCAAACTAGCTTCCCTTCTCCAGGTGCTCTTTGCACTATTGCATGATCTATACACGGGCAAAGCAACTGGATTTAATATCATATGTAAAATGTTCTTTAAAGATCACTTAAACCAGATAAATTATTTCTTTCACTGGTGTCTTCTAGTGATAGTAGAAATTGGCTATCCTTTTCTTCTTGGCCAGCTTAGACTTCAGCCCTAAGCGCAGCCATCTGAGAGTAAATCCACTGAGCTGAGCAGGACATACTATTTTAAGATTGCAATGGCCTTTGGGAGCTCAAACTATTGCTGGGTTTGGATGCTGTGGATGACCACTTTGCTACTTCTTTCATTTGAGTGGAGGGTAACACTCTTCTTAACCCTAGGCGAGATGATGGCAACTGCTAAGCCCGCAGGATTGGTCGTGTGTATGTGCCTAAGCTGAGGGCAAGAAAGGGGGAGGGGGGAGAGAGAGAGAGAGAGAGAGAGAGAATCAGTGGCAATGTTTCCCCAGAACTAAGTTCTGTGATTTGGCATCAAAATGTACCCTACATACAGTTGCTGGATCAGCTAGCCAGGCTCACTGACTCCCAGTTCTCTCTCTGCTTCGCCATCCTGTTCTTTCTCCTTCTAGTTCCTGATGACCACCAACTCCTTGACAACTTGCTGTGAGACCAGCGGCAGGTCCTTAGCGGACTCAGGAGCAGCACCCTCCACTCAGACCCCTGTCTACTGTCCGGTGTATGAGAGCAGGCTGCTGGCCACAGCCAGGCATGAACTTAACTCAGCAGCTGCCCTAGGAGTCTACGGGAATCCCTACACAAACACCCAAGGCTATGGCAACTACGTCACCTACGGGACGGAGGCATCAGCCTTCTATTCCTTGGTAAGTCTCTGCCCCTGCTGTGTGCTGGATTTTTGCAAGGAAAGTAACAAAGCCCACCTACTATTGTTAAGAGACTTGGAAAACCACTTCAGCAAACCCAGATTGGCTGTCAGTCTGGCTTGCCTAGATCTTAAGATCAGCCTCTAAGTAAGGCTGAGATGGAAGCCCACTTCTTAGAAAGTAAATCTCTAGCTCCAAAGTGAACTGGATTAGGATGGCAAAAGTAGGAATTTTGGGTGACAGTACTCTCTAGAACCAATGGTCCAGACATCTTTCCTCAACATGAGGACTTCTACATGCCTTGGAGAATATTGACATCCACCCACCTGGTGGGGGAAAGTTAATAGGGGTTGGGCAACCTTTCCCAATCCAATCACATGCAGGTATGGGTGAAAACCCACATAAATAGTCAGCTACAGACATTCTTATATAATCAATGGCTGATAACCAAAGGTTAGTGCGTGTAAAAACATATTATCTTCATTACACACACTATACACACACACACACACACATATGTGTGTATATATATATATATATAAATACACACTTATTTATACAGCAATTTCTATTCCACCCTTCTGATGCATATTCATCATAATCCTCTATAAGATATCACATACTGAACTCAAGCCACCAAGCTGGCAGAAGATCCACTGAAAATTAATTTTAAATATTAAAATAAATGGTGTAAAATACTTGCATCAGATGAGACCACCATTAGTAGGCATTGGAAAGGATTCCTCCATGGAAGAAAGTAGAGTCCTGATCCCCCACATCTATAAAGTTTCACTTGTTTAACTTTTAGCTGCAACCTTGGTCCAGAACTGCAATGTAGAATTTCAGACTTTTAAGGAGGAGAGTAAATCTGAGAGCTCATTTCTTGGTAGAGCACTAGCATTCCCTGAAAAAAACTGGAAATTTTTACATCTGAAACCCTGGAAGGAAATTGCAAGCCAGTATGGATAACTCTGTGCTTGGTAGAGGGGCTGGTGATCCCTCTCCATACCCAAGCTCTTCTAAGATCCAATTTCTAGATATATTTCTAAGGCGGTCTGCCACAATGTTTTCAATTTCAAGGTCATTTGCTTGTACTCAGTGGCTTACTGTATTGATTGCAATCTGTTTTGAACCCCTGAATGAAGAATGCATACAATTAATTCTTGGTCAATTGCAAGAGGGGCAGGCTTGATTTGGAAAAGAGCTCCATTACATACTTATTTCTGAGTAAATAGGCATGAAGTTGGGCTGGTAATCAGTGCGGAACTTTCCTGCTAGGGGGAAACTGTTCTGTTTTTGATTGCATGGAGCAAAATCATTTGCTGTCCTTCTTACTCTCAATGGAGATAGATGAATGTTTGCTTAAATCTCCTAGCGAAAGTAATAAAGCTTAATTTTGTCACTCTGGTTCCCATCTATATGTTTCATTGTGGGGGAAGGAGATATTGTTCCCTGCTTTGCTTTGCTTTCCCATTGCTGGCAGGGAAGGGGTGAGCTGATCAGGGCCGTACTTGGTTTTCATGTTCTAGAATAGCTTTGATTCGAAGGATGGGAGTGGATCTGCGCATGCGGGCATTACCCAGGCGACTGCTTACTATCCCTACGATCACACGCTCAGTCAGTATCAATATGACAGGTAAGAAATGAACAGCTATTAATTGCAAGGCAGAACAAGGGAGGGGCTGGGGAGGAGAGAACACTGGCTGTGTTTGCTCCCTCATCGGGAACCATTTTAAAGGTAACTACACAGCCTGTATGTATTTGTAGGAGTGGGTGTCAGCAGTAATAAATGTGGAGTGGTTGTGCTGACTCTGTGGCTTGCATGATGCACAGGGCAGGTAATCCTGAATAGCAGCCCACTACAGTACATGCAAAATACATGAAAAGGCTAAAATACTGATTATTATTCTGATCTAATCAGTATGGGAGAACATCTCATTGACTTCCATTGAAAAGTGCTCTCATGTCTTCTTGCAATCTGGCCTGCAGCTGGGAGCCTACCTGTGCTGATGAATTAGTCATCCCCTGATGGTTCTAACCTCCGCTGGACTAGGTGTTACATATGAATGCATATTTCCCCTCCCTGTGAAAAGCCCAAGCTTTTCAGCTATGGGAATGATCGCCCTAGTGGTGACGGAAAGTAGTGGCTGAGAACTGTATTTGGAAGTCATTTGACCACATCCCCCCTCAGGGGATGCTTCAAAAAACCATTGTCTTAACTGCACCCTTTCCCCATCTGCGGTAGCAGAGCCGTAATGGACCTGCCTTAAAGGGTTTGGTAAGAACTGCTGTACTGAAGTCAGGGGACTAAAGGGGCAGTGTCCTATCGCCCAGTGATAGATAAAATAATCATCTGTGCACAGATGTTGCCAAGTAATGATTGTTGCATGTGTGAACGGGCCTTTAAACTAAACATATCCTGTTCACTTAATTAAAAAAAAAACAAATCTCAGTCCTATGTATGCCAGTTTAAAAGACCTAGGGGGTTCAATTGAGTTTACCCCAGATCACTGGCTACAGGATTACCATCTGCAAAAAGTCCCATTGAATTTATGCGCCACTACAATTCTTCATACACTGCCCTGGGAACTTAGTGAGGTTTACTTCTGAGCATACATGCACTGGTTTTTGCTACAAGCAGCCCAAGAAAGCAAATCCTCAATGAAACAACTTGCAAAATCCCAGGGGTTTAGTCACACGTGTGTCCAGCCTTTTTCCATATAGACTAGTAAGAAACTATGTTAGTGTTATTTTGTGCATGATTTTTTTTCTGCATGATTTTTTTTCTTTATTGTACATAGCCACAAACCCATCACTTTCTTCTAACCTCTTTCTTCTATCACTCTGGTCTTAATGTCAAGGTCAGCCCTATTTTCCAATTCCCGCTTATATTTCTTGAGGTGAACATCTCACTGATCAAGAGCCAGATAGATCCACCTTAGGTTACTAGGTAATGAGCTAACTGTGTTGAGTCCTATGCCTCTGAAAGATCTAAGAATGGGCAGGAAAATAGCAGATTCTGCACAGGCACCATGAAAGTGACAGCTTCTGCACTGTTTCTCTGGGTCCTGCACAAAATGATGTCCTGAAGGTTCAAGCCTGAAAGTTTTATTGTATAGCACTTGAGCTTTCTAAAGACTAGACAGCAAACTTCCAGGCATGAAAGTCACCCAATGAGAATAGAAGGGGGCTTTGAGGACAGAAGAAAACCTGACTCTCCCCCCCCCCCAATTTAATCCTTGTCTAGTTGTTTTCCCTTTCAATATTTTGAAGCCTTTAACACCTATGAACAAATGAATATTTTTAAGTGACCGTAAGGTCAGCATTGGTATTAGCTTCAGATCTGGATCATTCCATCACTTCAGCCGATCAGCAGTGGTTTAATCATAGTTTTCTCTTCCCGATTTATGATCCTTTGCTTCCCTTGGCTGCTTCACATATGCATAAATCACTTTTTTACACATGAGCAGTTTGCACTTCACAACTGGCTTTTGAATGTGTGAACTTGCTCTGAGAATCAATCCTTCATTCATCCCTGCACAAACTTGTTTCTTTCTTTCAGAGGCAGATTTCCAAACATTTCCCATGAATTCAGATAGCTTAATGTTGACCCCCCCTCCCCTTTTAACATCATGTTAAACAAACCTTTTTTTATCTTTGATCTCGTTATTGCTTGTTTTCTAAAAGAACATGCGCCAAGAATCCCCGCTTCCACTGTTTCAACCTTTTAAGCCCAGTGGGTGCAGGTGACCTTTTCTTAGATGATGTATATTAAATATTCAGGCATAGCTCCAATGTCTTCATGTGTGTGTGTGTGTATGAGAGTGAGAGAGAGTGAGAATCTTGCCGCTAATAAAAAATATTTTTATTAACGATTGTATGCAGAGGCTACTCAGAGGTCTTTACTGGAGAGAGGTAGCACCCAAGATGGGATGTTTTTCTGACACGTTCCTTTTACATTAACTGTATACTAACTCCTCCCAAAGGCCACATTTCTTTGGCAAACCATCTGATCCATCCTTTCCTGAGGAATCTCTACTGAATACAGTGATCCTTACTTTCAGATCACCCTGTCCTTCATCCCCAGCAAACTGCAGAGTCCAGCCACATGCTTCTACATAGTCCAAGTCAGATTGTTCATTGGATAAATGTTGCGTACTCATAGGTTTTATCCTGAATGAATGATTTGTGAGCTAAAAGAATCTGGATTCCATGGGTAGCAGTGGGACTTCCAAGTCAGAATATAGGTAGCAGGTCTATGAAGCACCTGTCCTCTTTCTCTCACTCTCCTTGTAACCACAGATATAGCACCATGGATGGAGGGACACGGAGGAAAAATGCCACTCGGGAAACAACCAGCACACTGAAGGCCTGGCTGCAGGAGCACCGCAAGAATCCCTATCCAACTAAGGGCGAGAAGATCATGCTGGCCATCATCACCAAGATGACCCTCACGCAGGTCTCCACCTGGTTTGCCAATGCCCGTAGGAGGCTCAAGAAGGAGAACAAGATGACATGGCCCCCAAGGAACAAGTGTACTGACGAAAAAAGGCCCTACGAGGAGGACGAGGAGGGAGAGGGTCAAGGGGAGAACCTAAAGAACGAGAAAGTCGAGGGTATCTCCTAACCATTCTTCCCCTTTGCAGAATATTGCAAGCTTATACCTTTTCTCCCTATATTAGCCTTGCCTACCTGGGGACTTCCGGACCCACTGGACTAGAATGGCATGTTGACTGGGGATGATGACAACTATAGTCCAATACATTTGGAAACATCAGGTTGGGGAAGGCTTTCCTGCATCTTCTGCTCACCATAGCATATTGGAATATGCTCTCATCATCCGCTCCTTGGATTATGCATGTAACCATTGGGGAACACTTGGACATGGTATCCTAGTTCTCAATGAATCCATGGAGAAATCTGTGAAGGGACACTCTAGGTTACATTCCATGATAGAAGGATAAATTATAGCACTGAAACTTGTTTCTCTCTTAACAGTCAATAGCCTTGCAGTTGCATTGTGCAAACCAATATCTTGAGCAACGCAATGGCTGTATTCACATGACATGTTTAACTTGATTTCCGAGTTAATCCATGTCCCCACAAATTAACCTGATGTACTGAGGCACAACACCCTAAACCTCAAGAAAATCTAACCAAGATTAACACTTAACAAATTTTGCATGTTGTGCTAATAGACCCACTAAATCTTTATTTGAAGTGATTAAGCATAATGTGTGAATCCAGCCACTGCCTCATTAAGCAAATGCACTTTATTAGAGCAGCAAATAGTATCCTTGAATTCAAGAAGAATCTTTTTAGAAGGCCAGTTCTGTATCTCAGTCTTTGGGAAGCTGGTACTCTCAGGTATACAGTGATGGCAAGGTACACATCTGGAGATGGGAGAAGGCTGCTGCATCTAGGTATGCTCTGTGCCAAGCTTAATCTGACAGGGGGATGGGGAAGATGAGGATCACATGATGGTTGCAGCTATTTACCTCTGCCAGTCCTGAACCTGACCTCGAGAAGCAGAATTACACATAAGAGGAAAAGAGTGGTACATACAAAGATTTAGTTTCTGTATTTTCTGACTCCAACAAGGGCTGATATCTCATTTCAGGTAGCATGTGTGTCCATTTCAAATGTTATCTAAGACCTTGGCAAGTGACTACTAGCTTCAGTTCCATAACGGCCAGTCCAAAATAGTGACCATCCATTTACCAGAGTTGGTCTCTAAGGAAAAGCAAGACATTTCTCCAAAGGGAGGGGGGAGCAGGGGAAGAGGAAAGAAGGAAGAGCCCACTCCATTCCGAAGTACTAGATAATACGTGAATGAATTAAGCAGCGTTTCCCCTCTTCTATCCCCAGAACACTCCGGCAAGGAGGACAAAGAGCTGGGCCTAAGCGACTTGGACGACTACGATCCGCTGGAGTCGGAGAGCTCGGAGGGCGAGCTGAAGGCTCAAGCCTTCGGCCACGTGGAGAGCGATGCGTGCGCCAACGAGCCAAGCAAGGAGCCTGCTCTGGTCACGGGCGCTGCCTCGCTGGAAAGCACCCTCGACAGGGCCAAGAGCTGCCTCAAGGAGCCTGCGTCGGGGCCAGACGGCTGCGAGGCGGCGGAGCTGCTGAACGCCAGGCAGAGGAGCTGCGAGGCCAAGCCGTGTTACCACCACCAGCAGCCGCAGCAGCAACCGCCGCCGCCGCCGCCTTCGCCGCTCCTGGAGGGCAGCGGTAAGCCGAGGATCTGGTCGCTGGCGCACACGGCCACCTCGCTCAACCAGGCGGAATACCCGTCGTGCATGCTGAAGCGCCAGCAGGGGGCGGCGAGCGGCGTCGGGGCCGCGCAGGCCGTGAGCGTCCTCGAGAGGCCCCCGAAGGATTCCCCCGTTACGAACCTCAGGAACTGGGTGGACGGCGTGTTCCACGACCCCCTCTTCAGGCACAGTACTTTGAACCAGGCCTTGAACAGCACCACAGTGTCTTGGGCGACCACCAAAGGCTCCATCTTGGAGACGGGAGCTTTGGGGCGCTCCCTGGGGGGCGGAGCCGCCATGCTCAAGGGGCAGCTGGCCGGCCTGGCTGGGCCCCAGGACTCCGGCAAAGACTTCCTGGCTTTTCCCAAAGCGGGCAGCAAGATGTTCTGCTCCTAACGACCAAGCCCCGTCCCGTCCGCCTCCCTGGGTCAGGGTGGGAAAAAGGCAAGGTGGAGAAAGACTCAGGCCTGGCGAGCCGCTGAGGCGGGGTGGGCCTGGTGGCTTGGTGGGGAATCCGAAAGACTTGGAGAGAGCTTAGATTTGGGCAGGAAACGTTTTTCAGGAGCGGAACAGAACGGGCTTTTTAAAAGTGCGGCTGCAGATTTCAGGCGAGAAAAAGACTCCCTTCTCTGTTGCCTGGGAGTTTTTATAACCTTCAGCAATCGAGGTCTTCATCACGGATCTTTCCCTCCAGCGCACGCGCCGCCTTGAGAATTTCCCGGGGCGAGTTTACAAGGCGCGAGGTTCGAATCCGGCTTCTTCGAGGAGGGGAGGGGGCCGTTTGTCTCGTTCTTTTCTTTCCTTATAATTTGTGGCATGCCGATCGTAGTTACCAAAAAGACTTTCTTGGACTTTTTTTTCCCCTCTCTCTCCTCTTTTCATTGTTAGCATCTCATCCACAAAGATCGCACTTCTTTCACCGAGTTGAGACCCCATTGCGCTCACGCACACGAGCACAGAATTTTTGAACATGACAAATAAGCTATGTCGAAAAGGTATGTTCACCCCAAATAAATTGTCTGTCTCTCAGAGGTATCCTATGGTTTGTGATCTCTTTGCCTTGCTTGTGGAAAAAGTGCCCCCAATGGGTTTTTGGAAAGGGGGCAAAGGTGAGCTCACGGGAACTTTTATGCCTGTTTCAGACGAATGTCTGTTTCCAAGTAACTCCATGAAAATGAATAGCACTTCCAAGTTAGAGTTTTTTGGAAGACAGGTATGTATAAATCTGAATATTTTCATTCAGATTTCTACATTTGGAGCCTCATCCTTTGTTGCACCACCTTACATGGCCTCCAGTGATAAAGGTGGAAAGACAAGCCAATGGGAGTTGCGACATAAGTCAGACTTTAAAATCAGCAGAGAATGTGTTGCAGCGGTGATTTTCTTATTAAACGACTTAAGTGAGTTTGGCTTATTCTAGTTCATGATCAAGTAGCAGATGGTAGTGGCTGCTTAAAGATAAATCCTTGAAAGTCTAATCATTTCTCACCTGTGTCCAAACAAAATCATTTGCATCTTTCCTTTTCTCTAAAAGGTTTCTATAAAAAGTCAAAATATGATTCGTGAAAAGGAGCTAATATAACCCATCGCAGCTTTTTTTGTTGTTATGTAGGTGTCCGTTGGGCTTACAGAGTCTGATGGTGAGGGGAAGCCGGGGGTAGACGCTGGTTTTAGGGTATTTTTCAAAATTAGGAAGACAGTTTATATTTCAAGCTCTTCTTTTGAATATTTATAATTGCACCCACTGACAAAGAAGCACACACCTTTTTCTGTGTCTCTGTACCAAGAGTTATAAACCAGCAAAGAAAGACTTGGATATGATCTGAAATTTGGAGGAAACAAAGAGGTTATCCAAATCATATTTTTAAAGGAACCCAATAATGGTTTGGCTTCTCAAGCCAATTATGAGAAGGACAGTACTGTGACCATTGGGGCTTGCTCTCCTCCTCTCTCCCAAACAAAAGGAAGCCTTGCAAGAGGAATTTGTTTATGAGAAAATGTCCACAGAATCGAGTTGCATAAGGAATGTTTAATTTGGTTCCCCAGACAGGGTATATTCAGAATTAAAAGACCAGCGACTTGCCCACGTATTCGGATTGGGAAGGACATGAGCTAGAATTCCCCAAAAAAGGAAAAAGGTGAGCAGGGGGATTTGGGGAAATGGAATTGCTGGGAATGTAAGGTCGCCAAGGAAGTTCTGATACTGTAATCGCCGCCGGCACCTCTTCCGCTCCCCCTCCCCCCACCCCCGCCCCGTTAATGTGAGCGAAGCAATTGATTCACATGGAAGATTTGGCGTTTTAAAGCGCCGTTTTCACTTGAACCTACTCCCCTGGTATGGAGAGCGAATCGTTGGATTCTCTATGAATATTTCAGCACTTCAGGATGGATGCTTTACCGTTATGACATTAAATAGAAGCGCAGCCAAGAGGAAGAAGGAGCGCTCCCCCCTCGGCGCGCGACTTTCTCGAGAAGCGTCGGGCAATTTGCCACTTAGCCAGCAGAAGACAACGCCGTCAAGATCCCCTCTCCTGGCCGCCTGGGGATGGAGACGTGGACTCTTCTGCGGGTTGCAGGGAGAGCAGAGATTGCCTGAAGTCTGCCCTCAGATGAAAACGCTTTAAAAAAGACATCCTCCACCAAAATAAATTAAAAAGCGCATGAAAATTGCCTGCCTCCCTTCAAATTCAGTAAAAGTGATTCTGAAAAGAAGATGAAAAGCCACAGAACCTAAAGTTGTCCGGTTAAACTCCCGGTGGGTTTAAAGTCCGCCGCCGACTTTAGACCTCGGGGACGGCTTCTCTAGAGCGAGTGGATTTTCCGGCTAGGGGCTGGTTTTACTCTCTCCGACAGTGACCTTGGGTGGGACCGTGCAATAGGCCTCTGCCTGCCAAAGGCCCTCTGCTTCCCCCACTCCCCCCAGCCCGCCTCCAAAAGCCACTGTTTGGTCTTGCTGTTATTCTGAACCACGTAGGCGCAGAATTAAATTGCTAACACGCGCGCGGTGCTGTTAAGAGAGCTCTGCGGGAAGGGTCTATGTGTAATAACTGCATGGTCATCAGTCACAACATGAATTCTTAAAATAGACTGTTAGAGTGCGAGATGCTGCAATTTAAATAGCCTAAACTTCGGCTTTACGCCACCCACTAACTTAACCAGTGAATAAGCTCCACTGAGCTCAGTTAGATTTATTCTGAACTGAGTTTGTGATTGTGCGAAAAGTTTGCGCCCATCCTTCTTCCGGGCACCACTTCAACCTTCCAATCTCTAGTCGGACCTAGGCCTGACTCTTATTTTCTCATGAAAGGCATTAGGTGGACTGCAGTGCGGAGTACTAGAAAGCAGAAATGTAATAACAACCACCTGCTCTTCAAAGTCAGTTGTATGGAAGGAAGGGGGGTGAGAAGGGTGTGTAAACGTAAGCGAGGAGTGGACCCGGAACTCCAGCGGCTCTCCTTTTGTCGAACAGCAACTTTAGACCCGGCAGGCGCCCAATTTCAGTCGCCGCCGCCGCATTGGAGGTGCGAGGCAGCCGAGAGGCGCTACGGC